GTACAGCCCCTTTTAAAATGCTCATTAGGAATTTTTAGGGTCCCGGATTTATTACGTATTATTAAGGTTTTTTTTTTATTAATATGGGGAAGCGATTATACACCCCAGACCCCGAAACTCTAGACCCTAACGCCTTAAACCCCTTAATCCTAAACCCCAGTTTTGGGCCTGCGTTTGCGTGTTGACTGCATTGGACTGGGTTTAGGCTTTAGGGTTGGTCTTGAGGGATTGAAGGTCTTGTACGTGAACAGGGGGCCCCATGAGAAGAATGCACCTCAACGAGGTTCTTCAGCAGATTTCAGCAGCTGCAGATTCCAGCCGCATCGTACAATTTTGCGTCAGCTTGGTTTGGCTTTGGGCAGCCACTTCGAACTGTCAAGTGTTGCTCCTCTTATTATCTACAACCCTGACAGCAGGGCATTTAGCCGCTCCATGAATCAACCAACGACACCCTTGAAATCCCGCAAATACACGAAACACCCAAGGAGCGAAAGAAGTGCGCACCCGATATTCTAATTACACCCAGGACCCAGTACCCTTGAACAAGCAAGCAGCTGTAGCCATCAAAGTCATCTCCAATTCGGACGGCACCTCCGAGGTTGTCGCACCACTGGTCCTGAACCACTTATCAAGGATCGAAATACCATCTTCCCCCAAAGGTACCCCGAAGGGTTTTAAGAGCAAATAAAGACTATGTAAGGCTGGATGTAAGGCTAACAGGATTACAAAACTAGAGCCGAGAAGTGTAACGGAATCATGGTCCAGTCCCGGGGCCAACCGGTGCCACTACAATAAGGTGCTTTCGCTTACCCCAACCCCTATAACAAGGATCGTATGTTTATTGCATGAATGGTATCCAAATCTATCCTAATGTCAGGGGTTGGGTAACTAGAACCCCTGATAACTCTGGTATTATTCTTCATTTCAAGTTTCAACCTTGTTTTTGGGGACTTTAGGCGGATGGTGGGGACGGCTCCGAGCCCAGCGATGCAAGCTTGAACCGCTTCAGGGCTCAGGATCTGTAATGCCTCAATGTTTAACGCTTTTGGACCCGGTTCTAGGCCCTCGCTCTACAACGTCAAGTAACCATACGCCTTGCCTCTGACATGTTTCCCGATGCATGTCAGGACGCATTCCGCATCCGTCGAAATCTCAAGCACAACCTTCCAGCCTCAAAGCTACTGGCCCAACAACCACAGCCAGCAAGACCCATATTTCGCGCCTAGCCATGTCCTATCTGAGACTGATCGCTAAAGCCTTCTGCTTTATCTAGGCTGATCAGACTCGCCTGCGCAAGGAGGGTGTACGTGACCTCGGAGTGGTGGACCCGTGCGTTTAGCGGGAGCATGATGCTCTAAAGTCTTCTGGGGAACTACAGTGCGTCACGCTCATGTCCAAGCAAGGCTGAAGACCTAGCTAGGCTTCAGTCTTCGGCTCATCGGGAGACTGGGCATTGTAATTGTATCGTTGGCAATGCCAAGCGGTCAGGCGCATCTGTTGTAACTCATCATACGCTTGAATGCCTTCCATGCGTAAAGGTACTTGTACGTATTGTACGTGTTATCTCATTCTGGAGTCATCTGAGAACGCTGTCAGGGCCCTGGTTGAACATGTTCGTGGTCCGCGGAGTGGGCACACATCCGGTGACGATCCGTTCGGTGACTATGCATTCACTGACGTAATCGGTACGGACAGTGCTAAGTTTACTGCGCTGCATCGCAGCTTTGTTGAGCCCTCTTTTCGTTTTTTCCGGGCAGTAGTCTTGTCGTGCCCATGTTTCCTGATTATCCACTTTGCATCTTGCGGGTGTAAACATGCCCAAGCAACTCGAACTGTAGCGTACGCATATACACTCACATTGCTTCGAGAGCCTGCAAGTGCCTCCCGGCTCTATGGTAGTTTCCAAAAATAGGGGGGACCCAAATATAGACCCAAAACTACGATAGTCTTATTATGGGGATCCCTAAAAGTGGCCCTAATTTGGGGCAACATCCTATGTTGCGGGGCCATGCCTATTTTGAGACGAAAGCCACTCCGCATCCGCACTTGTCCCACCATTGCACGAAACGACTTGCCTCTCGAACCAAGGCCCTGGCTGCTGTCTGCATGTCCCAGGACTGGATCCATCAGACGCAGCCGCATGGCACTCACAGGAAGACTCATAATTTTTTTTTTACCAACCCTGCAAGATAGAAACTTTGGCTAGAATGTCCGAACTGCGGCAAGCGTCCGCGTGCCAGAAGCTCAGTTCAAGCCAGCTGGAAATGCTCAGCATGTCGCTGATAAGAATGGTGCACAAGCTTGGCGTGTTCAGGCTTCTGAGCTAGCGCATGCACGCCACACACCCAACTGCCTTCACGGCGCATGGCTACAGCACATGCGTATGCTAAACCTTTTGAACAGCTGTTATAGGTATCCTTGGCTGCTCTTAGGTTAAGATAGATTATGTGTCAACTCTGGCTGTCAAGCCACATGTCCCTACTCAAACATCTGGTCGTTGCTATCGGCCAAAACTGGCGGCCCATGCGATGGTCGATCTAATCTGGCCAGCTTGAGGCAACTGCCTAAAGGCGTAGCAGCAACGTTTTGCGCTTTCAGGTGAAGAGCCAGAATCATACTGACAGACACCAAGACTCAACATTGCAGAGATTTGCTTGGCAATCTCCTCTCCCTGCTGGCTTGCGGCTAGAAGGATATGCCGTTTAGAAGTCAAACGACCGCACTTAGGACCAAGTCGTGTTTCCATCGTGTTAACTTCCCCCCAATATTTCAAACATTTCCCAAGCCGCCATCAAAAAGATAACACAACTTATTTGGGAGGGGGGTCGGGCATCAGAGCGAAGAGGAAAGCCGTCTCAGGGTTTCGGAGCTTGGAAGACAAGTTACCATAACCCTGGAAATGTCCGGCCCTGTCACACTTCACACCCCTTCAGAACACCTACAGCTGAAACCAATGCAATATCTATGCACCCTTGCCCCAAGAACTTTGCACTTCATGCATGGTAGCTGAGCAGAAACCCACATCTGAAGCAGCACAGCCTCAGAAATCATGGTAGGATACTTTTCAAAAGTGATTACGTGTATTCGGTTGTGGTGGATTGTGAACAAACTTTCTACGCTTTGTACGTTCTAGGCCCTTCAGCTATCATACACATGTCAGATGCCTCTGGCAGGTGGTTCGGGTGATGTTTGCAGCCAACCAGGTTTGGTCCAGAACTCATGTGAGGAGTCTGCACGACAGTGGGGGGGGAGAGGTGTAGTCAACACTAAGACGCGTTTTAACCTTTCCCTTTTTCTACCGCTTGCGCGGCTCGGCCCCATCTTCGAGTCACAGCGGGCGCCTGGTGCGGGCTTTGGAGCCTGTAAGTTACGCCTCCAACTTCTGAAAGTGGTATAGCAGGAGTATTGTAGGACTCTAATTGAATTACCATCATCCTTCGTGCCTTGTAATGAGTACAGGCTCAACCCAAAAGATTCTGTGTTCAGGAATCGGGCTTTTAAAGTTCCTTCGCGCTGCATGTTCATCAAATGAAGGTTTGAAGGGAATTAAACGACAAAGGGCCCTTATATTTGGCGGCATGAGGCTTGAAGCGGCGCTTGCCTTTGGCACCTTCGTGTCCAAGGGGTTAGGGTTCAGGGTTGGCGCTGAAAGCCACGGCCTTTTCTCTAGACGGACTGCCCTAAACGCGTGGCAAAGCTTGATATCTTCAACTGACTTGAAGAAGCATGCGTGAGTTTCACACATCTCGGTGATTCTGAACCCTAAGCCCCAGAGCCCTATGCACCTATTACACCCAATTTCAAAACGGTCTTGGAACTTTACCTCAGATACTAACCCTGAAGCCCAAAACCTTCAACTTGAACTGAAATCTCTGCAGCCAAAAAGGCAGATGCAAACAAAACTGGACATGCGAGAGGTACCCATCCCCCAGAACACATATACCTGCAACGTGTCTTCAGATGCCTGACTCGCCATCCTCGCCTACCCCGGGACCTACAAAATTGCTGAACATGTTTTTTGTATTTGGCCCACTTCATGCAGGTGCTTGGACCAAGTCCCCTGCTGGTGACTGCGCAGGCACCACGTCAGCCAAAGTTCGCGGGGCATCCGCGCGCGGCAGTGCAAGGGAAACCTCTGCCTGCGATGTATCACATGCAGAATTCAACGTCACTGTGGAGTTGAGGTAGGACTTTGGAGTTTATGTGAGTAGAACGGCATGGCCACAACGGCGCCCATGCTGGTCTACAAGAGTCTTTCCAGCGTCTGTTTGGCAGTTCCAGACTTTTGCGGGCAGCATGGTTGCAAGCTTACGGTTCCGGAACACAAGGTAACCCCAAGTCCTGAACAACCACCCTGGAACCCTGAGCCCATCACGATGCCAAGTGTTCTTGGTAGCCCGACAGCAAAGCCGACAGGGAAGTTCGTTCCGGTTCCACCGGAACGTTATACTGCTATACCAGCGTCCAAGCTAAAGACAAATGTGCCTGCACTCTGTCTTTCTTGCAGCCATCGTTGACACAAGGCTGTAATCAGTCTTTCATGCTGCTCTGCCATGAGTACAACTTGCCGTGTACGCAACTAAGCCCTAAGCCCAAGGCACGTAAATCTTCCCTCCCACATTGCTTCTCGAACATCCCCCATACACGCTTTGGCTTTATTCTGGGGAACCCGACATTGGACAACGACACACGTAATGTAATGATTGAGGCTCAAGATCAGAACAGCTGCAACTCTGAGGTGAACCTGCAAGCTCAAATTCAAAAAGCTAAAATACTGGGGAGGAAATAAGGGAAGTTATATGTATATATATATATATATGTATGTATATTGCAGGGATTCCACACTGATTATATTCCCTTATTCGCTATTAAGCCTAAACCTTCAACCTTGAACCGAATGAGCCCGGGCCGTCGAGCAGGGCGAACGCGCCGAAGCCGGCAGGCGAGGTAGTTCTGGAGCCCAAAGCCCCATGGCAGGCAACAGAGCTCCCACTCCGCAGGCAGCTGCGGAATGCCCAGCTGGAGGTCGCCCTGAGAATGAGGTAGCAAACCTTCAAACGGAGCAGGGCCCCTGAGCAGGCCCTCGGGCCTCCCCAGGAGCCAGGCTTCCCAGAGCCGCGGTCAAAGCCTAAAGCTCTCCAGCCAAGGCTCAATACGAAGCCCCTGCGCTAGACATTCTGAAGAACATCGGAACGTCCAGTCAGGCTCCATCTGAAGAAAACTAGAGGCCTCAAGCCAAACCCAAACCCAAACCCAAACCTTGCGCCTGGTTTGGTCTACACAGGAACAAATCGTTCAAGGATTGCAGGGTGCAAGCAAAGCTCAATCTGAAGAAAACTTGAGGCTTGGAGCCAGACCCAGCCCAACTCGCCTGGTTTAAGGACTGGAGGCGCTCTTTCTGGAGAAAACTAGGGGGCGAGCCAGAACCAACCCAAACAATGGATCCGCTTGATCTAGACAGGTCCAAATCGTTCGAGAAGGCTCTTCTGAAGAAAGCTAGAGGCCTCGAGCCAGACCCAGCCCAAACCTTGCACCCGCCTGGTTTAAACAGATCCAAGTCCTTCAAGAATTGGAAGCCTCCAGCCACATCTCAATCTGAAGAAAACTGCCTCGCGCCAGACCCAGCCCAAACCATGCACCCTTCTGGTCTAAACAAATGCAAAACACAAATAAGATAGACATGAGCGCGATCAGAGATCAAAGAAACCTTAATCCCGCAGCGGTCGAGGCAAGGGCGGAGTGCCAGCCGGGGTGGGATCCTACGGTTCAGGATGCGCGCCTGGGTGCTTTCAGCAACGCACCCCCTCGATGAGACACCATAAACCCTAAACCACATGTATCGATTTTCGAATTTATATTTATACATATATAAAAACATACACACACACATATATATATGTATATGCATTCCCTTATTCCCTATTAAGCTTGCCTCCGCATAGCCAACCCAACCGCTGCCATCCCAGGCTTCCTCAACGCGGCCATCCTTTCTGGGCTTCAGATTTCTTACTGGGACTTAATAGGTACTTAAGGAAATAGATAGGGTTTAGGGTTAGTTGGGAATTGTGGAAATGTGTAGGGTTTTGGGTGTAGGGTTAGTAGGGAATGAAGGAAATATGTAGGGTTTGGAGTTTACGGTTAGTAGGGATTTAAGGAAACATATACGGTTTAGGGTTAGTGGGGAATTCAGGAATTATGTAGGGTTCGGGGGTAAGGGTTAGTAGGGAATAGTACGGAAATATGTAGGGTTAAGCGTTTAGGGTTAGTAGCGAATAAGGGAATGTGTAGGTTTGAGATTTACAGCTAGGAGGGAATGAAGGAAATATGTAAGGTTTCGGGTTAGTTGGGAATGAAGGAAATATATTATAAGGTTTCGGGTTAGTTGGGAATTGAGGAAATATGTAGGGTTCCGGGATACAGTTAGGAATAAATTACGGAATATGTAGGGTTTTGGGTTCAGGGCTAGTAGGGAATTACGGAGTATGTAGGGTTTAGGGTTAATAGGTAATTAAGGGAAGATGTAGGGTTTAGGGTTAGCAGCGAATAAGGGAATATGTGGGGTCTAGGGTTAGTACCGAATAAGAGAATATGTAAGGTTTAGGGTTAGCAGGGAAGAAGGGAATATACTATGTAGGGATCATATTTCCTTTTTCCCGCCCCAAACAAATATCGATTTCCCTGCTACCCCTTAATAACGAGGGTACGTTTTTCCTTATAATGTTCAGCTTTAACACAAAAACCCCAAAATAAAAAAGGGAAAAAGGCTACTACAGGGCTACCCATAATTGCGGGCTTCAGATTTCCAGTTGAGGGCTGGTCAGACTGTTTGATGTACTTATACCCTAAAAAGCCATAAGTATACGGGGAATCTAGAAGCATGTTCTTGGTACCCTATAAGGACTATAATTCCACAATTATACAAGGGGTCTAGAACCATATTCTTGGTATGAAATTGCTTAGGCCTCAACAGTACTTTGAAATGACATATGTCAGCCCGTACTATCCACATAGCCGCCTTACATACTCCGGAATAAGCCCGCGTTCGGCCATCCCTACTAAAAAACAATGCTTGCAAATCCAAAGTAGCGATTTCATGAACAAGCACTACATTACCCTGCAAAGGCTTCTCAGTATGTACATGGTGGATGCCAGCTCAAACTATGCTAGTAATTCCACTAAGGAAGGCGTAGTTTCGTACTACAGTGTCCTATAGAGAACTGGCTGGGTTGCTGTTAAGGAACTTAACCTTAAGCTACCATAATGGGTATATATCGTAAACAATAGGGTTTCCCCAATATGATAACTTAAATTAAGTTCCTTAACAGCAACCCAGCTGGGCTCACAAGTACGCGCTGGCTGACACAGGCGAAGTGCCTGGTGCGCGAAGGCTGTCTTCGTCAATTTCTGGAGCTCGGCAGCTGCAGAGCCGTGACCTCCGAAGCGCAGTGCCTGGCCGTGGTCTGTTGGTTTGTTCGTTGTTAGATGAGACTATGTAGGGTCATAGAGGGATATACAGGCTACCTTTAAAAGGATAATAGGGATTTTGTAGGGTTGAGGATTTAGGGGGGTTGTTATCAAGGAATGGCCAACCACATGGAACTCAAATGCAAAATGCAACAGAAACTAGGGCTCGTGGGGTATGGGGCTTAGGGTTTCCAATGCAAGTTGTTACTGGGGAAAGACGGAATGGACAAGAAATGGGTAGCCACCATATTCTGAATGTTGCGCTGCTCTTCTGACAAACCTGGTTCAAACTATTAGCGCCATACACCCAAACAGGTTCAAGTTCAAAGCAAATGTTTCCCACGTCCAAAAGCAGCTCATATCCTCCTACGACTCAGCGATTCACGTTGGATTGGCCTCTGTGACGCAATGCAACCTGTAGAATTATTCTGACACTCTGCATGCAACATGGTTGAGCCGTAGTTGCCCCGCACTACGATCCAAAAACAAATGGTAGCACTCTGTCACTTGCACCCCAATGGGCGATGATTGAAGGTCACTTTCTCCTACCCCTGCTGTTAAGTTCTCGCCAGAAGGTAAAACGCAGTCAGCGCCTAGGTCACTGCTTGACACAAACACTACAGATAGGGGTTCAGGGTGTAGAGTCTAGTGTTTTGGAACGAGGGCATAGGGTTTAAGGTGTGCACCGTTCAGTGGCCCGAGCCTGGTCTGAGAACTACCAATCCACACCAAATACTCAAGGCCGAAATGGGAGACAGTGCTTGGCCACAGTCATCTACCAGCAAGAAGTCTAAACGGAAGTTCCTCATCATAATTCCACAGATGTTTTGAGAAACCCACCGAGGACCAGCGCCTCTGCCAAGGCCACAAAATCCACACAGTCACGGCCGTTGTAGGAGCCACCTGCGGCAGGCTTCCCGCAACCATCGTTCGTGCCTGGTGCCTGCGCTACCGTCGGCCCCGAGTGTGTACTTGGCCCATTCGAGGGCTGTAGTATGAACGTGGAGATAAATGCCAAGCAATTGTATGAACAGCCATACCTGTCGAAGGTCGCGTTGCACAGGATACAGAAAGCAAGTCCGTTGTCTACGATTTCTGGCCTCAAGGGCAATAAGGTAGTTTTTGTTCCTTTGCACCAAGCACGTCGATATAGACCCTACTTGTACCAGGTTTCCCGTATGTCCCCACATTGTTCACAAAACCGATTTCTGAGAGAGCTTCTTGTTTAAGCAAGTCCTATGATAGTCGTACCTGCGGCAGGAACAAGTTGGAAGAAATGCAATGATGACACAGGCCAAAGCAGCAGGTCATGATGACAATAGTAAGACATCCTGAACATAACCTTTCAGCGCCTTAATAGAATCCAAGTGATACTCCTATTTCTGAAGAGAGATAAGACATCCACCACGAAGCACAACCCAAGAACATAAAAGCTGCAAGCAAGTCCCATGGCTTGCGGTTGTCTTAGGTTCATTGCCATCGGCATGCATGGCTTCTGTAAGCTCACTCATGCTAGATGTGGTTTCTCAACATAAGGGTATGAACCTTGGGAAGCAAAACTCTGATTATGAGGAGATGATTCTTGTCCTTATCGCAGTGGTAAAGGTTGTCGTGAGAAAGTCCCTAGTATCACCAAAACCCAGCCTATGTAAGCCCCAAACCCTAAACGGCGCGTAGAAGCAACGAAGCAGGCCTCGCCGAACTGCCTGCGGGAAAGCTTCTGACACTTCCCGGAGCCCGGGCCTCGGAAGATGTCCTAGGTTTAGGTTTTATGGGCATTGGGGTTTACTGGGTTGCTGTGAAGGAACTTAATTTAAGTTACTATATTGGGGGAACCATATTAATTACTATATATACACCCATTATGGTAAACTTAATTTAAGTTCCTTAACAGCAACCCAGTTTAGGGTGGGATTATAGGGATTTAGGGGTGATATAGGGGTTATACAATAGGGATAATGGAAAAGAAAATGGAGACTACCATTAAGGGTTTAGGGGGCTTGGGGTTTAGTGAGGGGTTGGGGGAAACGCATTGGGATTATAGGGGTTCGCATAGGGATATATAGGGGTCATGTAGGGGTAGCACTTCCAATTCTCAGGGGTAGGTATTGGGATTATATGACGATTTGAAGGGGCATCACCCCAATGATGGACAAGCAAATGGAAAATCAAATAGCGAACGACATGGAACCTACTATATACATATCACGAATATGTACTCGCGCAGGCTAAGAACCATGAAGCGAGGGTGCAATGTCTGGGTAAGGTTGGAGGTCGCAAAAGAAGAGGATGTTGAAATCTCAGTCTTGGCCATGCGCAAAGGATTTTTCAGGCTTTCCAAGAATCAAGGGTAGATAGTGGGACTATCTAGGGATTTCTTTCGCATAAAGTTTTCGAGTGCGCGCTCGGGTTTTGAGCACTCTGAAGAAGTTGAGCTCGGTGCAGGGCGTCAACAAGTAAAGAGGTGTAGGGATTAAGGAAGACAGCTGTTCTCACTAATACTTCCCTCAGCTTGTAACAGTACGAATTTGCTCTTGAGCTTTGGGTGGAGATTTGGGGTGGAGAGGCCAAGGGCTTTCAAGCTTTTAGGACCCGTCGAGTGCCCAATAAGCATAACTCGCACTACCTACAACCCAAATTCCAAGCGCAACGCCTTTCCCCAATTTGTTGGGTGCTTGAACCTCGAGTCTACAGTCAAGTTGAGCTTTACTAGCTTTGCGGGGCTGTTGGAGAAGGGAGGGGAAGGAGGAGTGAAACGAATGATGCTTGTATTGTTTGCGGCGGCTCTTCATCGGGTACATTCCACGCCCCAGATCTTGGTGCCAAGCACAGTCAGTGGAGCACCTGACAAGACTCACGAATGCTCACCGGAATGGACAAATCGTTTATCATGTTCCATGGGTCTCACATGCCTCAGCTCAGACATACACACAGGGGCCAACCCTCCCAGGTGAGCAGTGCCTCTTTGGTTCTCTTGTTGTCAAACACTACAACCAAGAAGACAAAACCAAGTTGAGCTGCATGGGGAACTCTAGCATCCCCAATTGAAAAACTACTGAAGGCAGCCCTGAGTTGTGCCCAGCCTTCTTGGACGCTGCCAAAATCGGCCGCAGTTACGGGGGAGCTGGCCACTAACCTGTCCCAAACTTTGCAACGTAAGCTAGGCAGCCCTGTCATCTGGAAACACCCGCGCGACCGCTTACTGTGGGGCCTACACAGATTGGAGAGGGCTTTGGCGTACATACTACTAGAATGTTATAAGGTACCGGGGATTATTAGGAGAGAATCCTTGTAAGCATGCAAGCTTCTACACCATGCTCTTGCAGCCCCCGTGAGCTCTGTGCACTTTATGCGGAACGCCTTGCCCCTGAGAAGGCGACATGATACAGTCTCACGAATAAGACACGAACTCGCTAAGGGCCTTACAGGGGACTACTCTCCCGACACAAGGAGCCTAATTCAACAAAGGATCATGTAAACCCCCGGCCATATTCCGGGCGGATAGAAGAAGGACTCATGCTGCCTTTCATGCAATACCGCTGATTAACAAGGAATGAAGGAAAGGATCTTGATAACATTCGCTCTATAAGACCCAATAGTCTTTGTTTTGCTTTTCATGGCTCCACATAGACCTATCCCATCTGACCCTAGCTTCCATTGCATTTCTATGCTATTTCTTTTTCATGTGATCCTCCAGTGCAGCACTTTCGATCTTCTTTTCCATTCCTCCATTACTTCTCAAAGTCCAAAGCGTGACAAAATTGGGACGTTCAGGGCTTAGGGCAGCTGCAGCAGCTAACCCCACTTACTTAGCGACTCCCAAAACCGTATATCCTCCGAGCCATCCATGAACCTGCAAGTAGGGCCACTCCCCCTTAAGCGCCAATCAGGTACATGCATACTGCTGACATTCTAAATCCTCAGGCAACAGCAGCCTTCGAGGCTTCTGTGATTGAACGAATGTGGAGAGTTCCAGGAGGTGGGAGTTCCTTGAATTGAGGACTCCAATATGCAGATTTCCCAAACTTAGGGATCCCTTTGTAGGGGTTCCCATAATAAGGACTGTAGTATATTGGGGTCTATATTGGGGTCCCCTTGTTTTAGGAAACTACCATATAGAGCCTAACAAGCTTTAACCCTTATTGCAGAGACTCCCCAAAATGGGTCCGATTTGTTGGAAACTCTTAGAATCGAGGTAAACCACCGTAGAATCCCAGTTTCCATTTCATGTTCAATGGTCTTGTCCGTTTGACTCCCCATGGTTGGGGCCATATATCTCCATATAAGCCCTATCACAATGCTCCTAGATAACCCTGCATATTGCCTATATGAATCCCCCGAATATCGTGTTCCTGTTTTTGGAATCCGAAGGTTCAGAGCGACTAAGAGCTGCTGCGTCTTCCGAAAGAACGTTGACTTCAAGAAGACATTTGCGGGTCTCCAAAATCAAGTCATCATTTTTTGGGGACGTCTGGAAAAAGGATTCCGGAATCAGAATTTTGGGTCGATATAGTCCCTGTGTCTCTGACAACTACCGTTTTGCAAGATCGCACGGCTCTAAAGCGACTACAGCTCTGCCTCTGGGATGTGCCTTACCCTAGCTTGCGAAGAGCTGATCCCAACATGCGCGGATTTTCTTCAACCTCTCAAGCCCTGATGCGTTGCATGGTAAGATGCTTTTTTGGCAGAGGCTTTTGGCGCTGCTTCAGTCTGAACAAATGCAGACGTCAATCTGGACAAATGCAGACGTTGGCTTTAAAAATGCGCCAACCCCTGGCCAGTACAGGTCTTGTACATCAAGTCGAAAAGCGACATCCTGCCTGGACTGCTCGTAGATTGAAGACTTGGTTGAAAAGCGACTTCCTGAACAAGTCCAGCACGGCGGAGCATGAAATCAATCGGTACTGCATGCCGCGGTGTTAAGGTTCAGTGCGATACGCAGGACTAAGCGGAGGTTGCACGTAGGGAAACTACGGATCTCATCCTGCTACTACTCCTACTGCTGCTGGTTTGGAGAAGGTACCTTGGAAAACCCTAAACCCTGAACTCTTAACCCTAGACCCCACACCCCAAAGCCCAAACCCTATATAACCCCATTATAGTAGTTTCCATTTTCTTTTCCATTATCCCCATATACCCCCAAAATAACCGCAATATTACCCCAAAGATTGGTCAGCCATGAGCCTGAAGCGTCGCAGATGCCGGTGCCCAGTCAGAAAAAAACTCAGGCCGCCAGCGTCTAGATGAGCTACATAGGCCTTTTAGAAAACCAGTGCAATATGCAAAGTCCATGGCATGGAGTTTAGGGTTTGAGTTTAGAGTTTTAGATGTAACCCATAGTCTCTGTAGTCACTGTCACATATGATTTCATACTATCGAAAGGGGACCAAGGGATCCAACCTACGTTATTTTCCGGCTTGGCTCCCAATCATCCCACCCCAATGTTGAATATTCTGCGGCCTAAAAATATTGAATATTAGGAGTGCGCACTGAGTGAAGGAATTAGAATAAGCCCCCTAAATACAATATGAAAGCACGCCATTTTTACATTCATTGAGACTCCTCCAACCCATATAAACAAATAGAGCAGACAAACCCATTAGTTAACTAATTTAGCATTAGCTAAGAATTATAAAAATACGTAAATGATTTCATTATCTCAAATGAATCAATTATTTGGAACTGGCTCCGTAATCCTAAGTTCTTAGCTGACTCCAATGAACCAATTTATTCAACCCTAAACCCTGAACCCTAAACCCTAAACCCTGGATCGGGTGACTGACCCAGCTCGCATCACTTACTCAGTGCCAACCATGAATGAATTGAAGTAGATGAAGAGATCCGTCACTCGGATTCGATTTCCGCGCCTTTTGTATGAACTCCCTGAAAAATGTGAGTTCTGAACCTCGTGGAGTCCCTGTCTTTTAGAGGTCTCCCTATGATAAGATCCAATCCTCGGGACCTTTTGGGCTCACCTTGAGAAACACTCACCCCAAGGCAGTTCGGGCAAGGCTGTTGTCATTTACATCCGGTCTACGGGCAAGATAGGCCTGCCAGCAGTTGTGTGGGAACACCCAGGTGTTGATTGCGGGCTCTAGGCGAATAGTCTTTTCTGAGTAGTAACGGCTCGAGAGCTCAGTGGCAAAGAGCTAAGGGTTTAGGGCTTGGCGTGCATGAACTTCATGAACAGATCGAAACACTGCGTGGACAATCGTGGAAGCAAGAGGCGTAGGAATTCCTTACAGAACCTACCCTTCGCATACCCGAGTCTTCCTCCCTGCCTCTTGCACTACTTTTCCACGGTCACTTTCAGTCCATCAACTGGAAAGAATCCTGGTGTGTAACCTGGACAAGGCGGCAGCAGCTTGTGGGGTTTCGGGTTCAAGGGTTGAAGCTTGTCCGGCAAAGTTCACCTGGCCTGAAGTGCTGCAGGATTTGGAGGAAACCAAAGTACTATATAGGGGTGTATTGAGGTCAGGGTTTAATTAAGCTTAATATTACCATGCTAATAAAGAATCGAAAGGACAAGACCACGGCAAATAAAATGGAAACAGAGACATGCATCTGCATCTTGCTGGGGGAGCCAACTGGAAAGGGTTGCAAGACCCTTTTGCTCAGACTTGGTGTTGCAGCACCACACGTCCTACATCCTACCCGGACCACACCTCCATCACATCCTGTAAGGCCCTGAACTGCCAAATCCCAAGTTCTACACCCTACATGGCCGGAATTCAGAATTGTACATGAATAGTATGTATACATGCCTACATGTTTGTATGACCTATATGCTATAGTCTAAGCTCCTACCATCCACCTTGATAGCCCCTATAGTAGTCCCCGAGATAATTCCCTCTTTAACCACTTTGAGGAGTTCAGACTATAGCTCATATGTATTCTATAGACTTGAAGACCAGGCCGGCTGTAACAAGCCACATCCCTGTAGGCCCTGCTTCAAAGAGCCCCAAACATGCACGGAGCCTGCGTGCCGTAGGGTTTCTCTGTCTTGTTGGTACGGATTGCAGGAAAACGTACTAGTACTAGTAATAGGAATAGGAATAGTGAGAATAAAACGATAATTTTGGTAGGAGCAAGAGTAAAAATATTAGTAATGCTGCAAAGCATGCAATGTGAAACCACTACTGCGTTTTCTATGCGCTCTACGACACCAAGCCGGTGAATACCCTCTCCACCCCCACGCCAAGATTAAGATCAGCATCACCATTCTGATTGAAACGCCTACGAAAACAGCCACGCACAGGCCAAGTGATGAAAACACTCATACGGCTGCCTTCGGGACAGCGAGGGGAAGTAAAGTCATGGAAGAGATATTCTCAGCAGGGAAATGTGTCATTCCAACGTCTCTTGAAATGAGACTTTATGTTGAAGAACGAATCCTGGAGTTTCACGGCCAATGCGTTCTAAAGCAAGGTCAGCAGGATAAGTCTCGTCACAAGCCGAATTCGAACAAGCAGGAAAATAACTGCTCATAACCATGAACCTCGAAACCCCCTTCTAGCCACCCATGAACCTCGAAGTATGAAGGATGCCTTTTTGAAACCTGAAACGAACAATAGGGATCCAAATAGCCCACTGCGGATCATATTTACAAACTTTATGGCCCAATGTAGGTATCATTTGGACCCCTAGGGGAAGCACCTGAACCTATCGAAGTTCTCCGGGGGGCGCTGCGAAAGGTCCTGATTTGGCAGCAGCGTCCAGTGGAAGCCTTTGGGACCCAAGGATTCCTCGGCTTAGGGTTTAGGGTTTAGGCAGCCGCTTCCACGATGGATTCCCCAATTGTGCTAGTACCCTGGCGCTCCATGTCTATAAATATTACCTACATTGGGCCATTTGGAGCCCTAGGGTAGAGTTCTTACAGACTCAAAGGGAATGGGTTTAGAGGGGCTCGGAAAACGACATGTTAAAACAGCTGGCAACTAAAATCAAATTAGGCTTTAAGAGCTGAAAAGAAAAAACGGATTAAAGCCACAACGGGATGAAATCAGCTTCATTAATCCCCTCATGGTTAGAACCACAAGGCTCTAGGGGCTGCGGAATTTTGGGGTTGAAGGTGGAGCTTCTGGAACAGCCTGGCGGTTTAGGGTTCCGGGGTCTTCGCGTCAGGGCTCAGGCAAG